TTTATACTTGTCCATATTGGGTGGGTTAGGAGGAAAATGAATCCCAGCGCAGCCCTGTCTGTTGAAAGCAAGTCAAATGTGTGCAGCTTTAGCATATAAGTTTAGCTGGTAATAAATCTACTGCTGAAAATTGTTTAGGGCATAATCTGCTTTTCTAGGTCCAAACTAAATGGTGGGTTCAAAAACTCACCTGCAGTCAATTTCTGATGATAACCAGTAAATACCACATTATAGTTTCTCTTTCTGAGTAAAAAATCCAACATCAAAATTCTCATAGACTTAAGTGTATTCATTTCAAGCACTTTCCATACAGAATCCATCTTGGCCTCTCTCCAAATAACGTGAAAATGGTTGCCTACTTCCAGATACCTGCTCAGTCCTGAGTTGATATAACTCCCATTGCAAGTCAGCACAGGCTTCTGACAAGCTAGTAGGTAACAGCTTGAAGAGAATGAGAAATTAGCTCAGCCTTTCTCATTCTCTTTGAAGAGAATGAGAAATTAGCTCAGCCTTAACTTGGCAGAACTATTTATTAAAATGATGACTTAAGAGATTTTTCAAATGTCACTCTTGGTTGTGGATCTCACTTGAGAGCTCTACGCCCTCTACTTCAGGAATAAACATTCTTTTGGATAGACCTGGCTTGTTTCTGTGGTTTGGTGTAATTATTAATAGGTTCTCCTTTCACTCTCAAGAGTCCTGGTTTGGATGATAAAGTCTATGGTAATCTTTTACAGGCCTTTTTCAGAAGATATACTGCTTGCATTAATCGAAGAAAAATTACCTTACCTTTCCCCAGACACAGTCTTTGGTACCCTATCTTGAAGTCATTTAAGTAAATCTTCAGAGCAATCATGAAGAACCACATGAACTAGTGACTAACTCCCTACTGCTCTCTTATTGGTGAAAGCAAATAAGGTAACTTTATATAGACTCACCTAATGCAACAGCCTGGGAGGGAAACATGCGGGCTTCACGTTTATGTTTGCAAAGCAATTTCCAATCGTTTTAATTAGTTTTGCCACTGAATACGTGCAGGAATATGCACCCGTGTTGGATAGCAAAGGAACAGAGACCTAGAGAAAGCTAACTCGGTGCTTTCTAGAATGCCATTCCATGCCTGAATTCTGAGTGCTTTGTGTTTTCATGCAGCTTTTACAGCCTTGAGTCACCTCCCTTCCTGTTCTTCGGGAGAGGGTGTACTGTGGTGTAGCAATTTGAGGGTAATAAGATTATCAAAGCATCGCCAGAGATGCTTTAGAGTTTCTGCGGAAAATGGGTCTCCATGGTGCAGTGTGGCAGCTGGGAGGAACCCATGGCACAACCCCGCCATTCTCTCTGGAGGGAAGGAGAGCTGGCTTGTCAGGATAAAGACAGGCATCCTTCTGGATAGTCCCAAGGTATCCAAGGCAGATGGATTCTCAGGTCGGGACAGATGGGTTCTTATGGAGTCTCATAATCTGCGGGTAGAGGGAGGATAGGAGGCAAGGATGTTCGACCTGTTGGCTGATGTCTTTTTCATGTAAAGCTACTCTAGCCTGAATAGAGTTGATATCCTGTCCTCAACTTTTTGGCTCCCTGCTTGCAGCCTAGATCTGAGGGAAGAAAAGTTCAAAGCAAAGCAAGGGGGCACAGAAAGTTTTGCCATCCAAAAAATGTGCTTGGAGAGCTCTTATCTCAGGGGCAAATCTGCAGCTGAGGAGAGAACGCAGCCCTGAAACTGGAAGAGAACCGTGGCATGATGTTTGTTTTGAAATGGCCCTTCCACAGCCTTCTCCCGAATGTCCTAATTGGGTGGGGGGAGCAGATGGAGTGCAGGATAGACAACGCCACAGCTCGGGTAGTGGTGCCATTGTTGGGATGATCAGAATCGGCTGGGGCATCACTTCCGGCAACTGCCGGAAGGTGTCTAAAAGGCCCAGAGTTCTGACATGTGAGTCAGCAGTACACTCCGGAGATCTTGCAACCCAATTCCCTTATTTTACTTGGGGTCTTTCGGGATTTCACAGAGCTGCTAGCCTGGCAAGCTCACCGAGCCGCTTTAGACTAAAAGACTTAAAAAATATCAACCAAGAGTAATTTTTTCCCGCTGTGAAGAATTGTCATGAGACCCAAATGAATGACTCTGGAAACGAATTGCAATACTTCCTGTCTAGCTAAGGAGCTTGCACTTTCTGGTTGCCCACTGCCCCTGACAGGGGGATCCTGCCCCCAGAAGAGGCAGGGAGGCTGAAGCTTCAGTTCCTGTTCCTTAATTTTGTTTTTGCTTTTTTTTTTTGGCTTAAAGACCACTCCCCCCCACACACAACCCCCTCCCCCCGACAATTTTATAAGTTTCTGGTCTCAGGAAACCCAGGTCTTGGTCTGCCTGTTCTACACAATAAATCTCACCATCTGGTGCTCCAACATGCTCCTAATCAGCAGAGGAGAGCAGGTGAGGGTAGGGATGACTCAGCTGGGACAAGGCTGGGAAAACAGGCTGGGGCCTGTGAAGCAGTTGGGTCAGGCATAACAGTGAGGGCTGGCTCACATTATGTCTCAAACTTCTACCCCCTCCTTGTTTCCAACACCAGCTCCTTGCCCAGGCCAAACTTGTCTTCAGATCTACAGAGCCAGGATTTTAGATCTGGTGAGGGTCTTTGCCCTTACTGCTCATTTTTCAAGCTCTAAGAAAGGCCTAGGACCTCTCAGATCTGTGAACTCTCCTCCCTGAAAAATGAAGCCAGAGTGTTTGCCAATACTTTAAGCAGGTAGAATACTTGGTTCAGTTGTTAGATATAATCTGCCTGGTGTGTCCCTGCGTGGGTGGAAACCAAAGAAGGATGTCTACCTATCTGAGCATTCAATAAAACACAAACCAGGGCAATTCTGCATACCTTCCCTTTGTGCCCATTATGAGCAAAGCTTCTGAGTTACCCCCGGAGGGGATAGAAAGCTGATAAGATATGACGCCGGTCCCCAGTATTTATATCAGAGAACATGGTGTGAAAAGTTTGGCCCTTATTTGCTATTAATAACTGCCATTCAGCACCTACTATAGGCTCAGCATCTTATTATATAGTCTCTACTTATACCAACAACTCTAGAAGGTAGATATCCTTATTTTCATTTTGTGGATGTGGAAACTGAGCTCCAGAGAGGTTATGTGATTTATCCAGGGCAGGCAGCTGGGGCATCCCTCTGCTTATGAGGGGCTTGTGGAGGCTGAAGGATAGCATGTGCAGTGTCAGATGAAGACAGAAAGACAGTGGGCCCACCGAACTTCCCCTTCTCTGTTTCACACAAGCCTGTATTGGAATCCCGGTTTTAACACTTTGTGTGGGTTTGGGAAAGCCATTCTCTGTCTTGCTTTCCTCATCTATCAACTGGACAAAATACTTCCTGATACAGTTGGAAAGTTGAAATGAGATAATGGGGACGTTGCTCAGTTCCTGGCACATTCTGGTACAAAATGACTCACTTTGGTACAGGATGCCATCACTTAGATCTGCATGCTACTTCCTCAGAAATTGATGTTTTTACTAAATTGTTCTCGTCTCAGAGAGGCCTTTCTTGGCCACCCTACCTAAAAGGCCAACCCCATTCCAACTCTTCATACCTGTTCCCCTACCTTATTTTATCACCGACTAATACGTTACAAATCGTACTTATTTATTTTTGTTTGTCTTGTCTGCCCCTACCTACAGGAAGGTAAAGTTTTTAAGACCAGGAATCTTTGTGTTATTTCTGTATCATCCCAAGCACAAATATATATTGGTTAAAAGAATACATTTAAAAACAAACAAAAAACCCTCTTTGGCTCAGAAAATTGTCTTTTAATTTGGCTTTTTCCTTATTAGTGTTTGATACTGGGTACATTACTTAAAATGTCTAGGCCTCAGTTTCCTTCTTTGTAAAATGGGAAGAATAATGGTATCAATTTTAATACTGCTAGGTTAATAAAGTGATATGTATAAAAACTGGCACATAGCAAGTGCTGGATAAATACTTGCTATTTTTTTTAAAGATTTTATTTATTTATTTGTCGGAGAGAGAGAGAGAGAGAGCGAGCACACAAACAGAGGGAGCAGCAGGCAGAGGGAGAAGCAGGCTTCCCGCAGAGCAGGGAGCCCGATGAGGGACTCATCCAGGACTCTGGGATCATGACCTGAGCCGAACGCAGACGCTTAACCGACTGAGCCACCCAGGCGTCCCAATACTTGCTATTGTTATCACTTAAAATAATCTGACTAGTTATTGAAATTGTCTTTCGATGTTGCCCAGAGCTTTTAGGATAAGAGAGGAGAAGGCTAAAAGCCAAGGATGCCCTCTGCATTTCAGCCCCATGGTCCCCCTTGTTGAATAGGTGTGGAAGTGCTCAGTGTTCTCCCTCCAAAGCAGGTGACAGGTCTGGATTACCATTATCAGGTCACCGAGGAAGAAAGCAAACTGAGGCTTGCCCAAGGTCAAATGACTTGCCCAGGGCCACACACCTCAAAAAACCAGGGCATAAGGGACCCAATCCCCTACCATGCCTCCTGAAATTGTATTGTCAACTGCCTCTCTTCCAAGCTCTCCCTATAGTGAGGGCTGGGGGTTGGGCTGTGAGCTCTGGAGCCCTGGGTTCCCCGGCTTGTCCCTTTCATCTCCCGCAATGCACTGAACTTTTCCACACGCAGTTTTCCCGCACGGAAAATATGGAAAATAAAGCCCACATCTCAAAGCTTTGTGTTCAGGATCACAGGCGAGGAGAGTTCTTTGGAAACTGTAAAGTGCTGCACGAATAACCTTTGCAACAAGCATTAAGACGCGAGCCACCCACTTGCCAGTCCCGGGAGACGCTCCCGTCTCCACCCCCTCCAAGGCGACGCGCGGTGGGGGAAAGGAAGGAGGATTAACCCCTGGGCGCCTGTCTGGGCGTTTCTCCAGGCGGCCGGGGAGGAGTTCCGGCGCTCGCCCCCGCCCCGCCGCTGCTCTCCCTGACGCCCGCGCTCACGCTCCCGGAGTCCGTCGACCGCCCAGGCCCCGGCTGCGCTCCCCGGTCCGGCACCGCACGCGGGCGGCCCGCCAGGATGCAGGCCCCGCACAAAGAGCACCTGTACAAGCTGCTGGTGATCGGCGACCTGGGCGTGGGCAAGACCAGCATCATCAAGCGCTACGTGCACCAGAACTTCTCCTCGCATTACCGGGCCACCATCGGCGTGGACTTCGCGCTCAAGGTGCTCCACTGGGACCCGGAGACGGTGGTGCGCCTGCAGCTCTGGGACATCGCGGGTGAGCACCCGGGGAGGGGCGAGGGCAGGAGGGCCTCGCAGCGGGTCTGCAGTCCCGGGACAGGGGGCTTCGGTCTCGTCCCGGGCTCCGCACCGCACCGCACCAGACTTTTTCCTGTTGGGTTGGAAACTTGGTTTCAAAAGAAGACAAAAGTTTTTCTGTCTCTCGCTGAAACTTCAAGTGCATTCCCCGGCGCGCTGGGGCTGTTGCTTGAACTCCCTCGCCCACCCTCCCCTGGGAATCTCCCGACCCAGTGCGGGCCTCCCCATGGACCCTGAGAGACAGTGTCTGGAGTTCTCGGTCTCCAGCTCTTTTTCCGGGCGTGGGCGACGCGGCCGGTGACGCGGCCTTTAGTGTCTTGCCAGCCACCAAGGGGGAAGCCCTTAGACCGGTTAACAGCGGGAACCAGGAGCGTTCCAGGCTAGAGGGGTTTTACCCACCGTTCTTTTTAATCGGTTAGTTTATTCCAACTCTTGCCCCCCTCTCAGTCAAGCGAGTTTGAGGTTTTCAGCTTTGAGGAAGCCAAGGATCTTTGTGTGTATGTATTGGGGGCAAAGTATTATTTCTATGTTTCTCTCCGGCTCTCTGTGGTGTATAAAAAGAAGACTGTGCGGCGCCTGGGGGCCTCAGTCTTTAAACGTCTGCCTTCGGCTCAGGTCATGATCCCGGGACCCTGGGATGAGCACCGCATTGGGCTCCCTCCTCAGCGGGGAGCCTGTTCTCCCTGCTTGTGCTCTCTCTTTCTTTCTCTCTCTCTCTGTCATATAAATAAATAAATAAAATCGTAAAAAAAAAGAGCCTGTGCACCTACCTTAGGGGCACTCCTGTCAAAGAGTCTATGACAGTAGCCATAAGATTTCTTGATTTGCCCTTAAAGTTTTCACTGAGAGATCTGGGAAATGAGAAGCTTCATTACAATGTTTGAAACTAGAATTTGCTTCTGAGGGTTTGTCCCCCAAGTTGCGCGGGGGAGTCCGGCAAATGTGAGACAAATGTGTGTCTTCTCCAAGAGTGAGTCCTCAGACTGAAGCTGTTTGCAACCTGGGCATGTCCAACCCCTCATTATATGTCCTGGCTCTCCACTCACCAACCTGCTCAGTGGCTTCAGATAAGTCCCTTCAGCTCAGCTGCATCCCTGTTAAGTGGAAAGGGGTTGCACACGCAGTTCAGCAATCTTCCTGCTCTGAAGTTTTCAGGTCCTCTGGGATTCTCTGTGAACAGTGCCACTTCACTTCTGACTGTTTCATGGTCTGTGGTACCAGGAACCTTTACAAGTGCTGGACCCAAACCAGCCACTTCTCTTTCAGAAAATAGGTTCCTTTTTAGCTGGTGTATTTGACTGGAAACACTTGATCATGGCTCGAAGCAAGAACAAATGTGGAAAATTCCTGAAAGGGCATTTCTGTTTCTGGGGATTCTGGTGCCTCTTTAATAATGAGCTGCCAAGTCTTATGATAAAACTTTTGGCATGTGAACAGATTCTTACACGTGGGCTCATCTTCAGCTGCTCCAGTGGCACAGGGGCTGTCAGAGAGCAGACGATGCCATCAGCCACTATCTGACTGGGTTTTCCATCTAGAAAAGCCACTGCGAGTCTCTGCACTGTGGTAGTTGCTTGTTTTCGCGTCTGAAAACTATTCTGGCTGCGCAGATGCATCCAGGACTCAAGTTTAGAAGGAGCTTACTGTTTCAAAGGGGATGTAGCTGTCATTTAGACTTTTGTGTCAAATGCAAGTAAGGATGTGACCTCAGACGTGTTAGAGAATGTCCATGAATCTCCGTGTCCTCTGAAGGTAGAAAGGTATAGTGATTAAGAGTCTAAATTCCAGAGTTGAACCACTTTTGACTGTATCCCTGTTTTACCCCACATGTCCTGGGCGATTTTAGGTAAGTTCCTTAACCTCCTGATCTCAGGTGCCTTATCTATAAATTATAGGCATAATGCTTTCTCCCAGTAAATGAGAAATGGGCAACCAACAAATGTCAGCTAAAGGTGATGGTACCTACTGCCTAAGGAGAACTGCAAGAATTATTGTTAACACTAGCATGTATAAATGGTAGGCAAGAAGGACAGGATATAAACGTGCTAAGTCATAATAAATGATGAGTCCTATATTATACCTGTAATCTGTTCCAAAATACCCAGCACCATTTTTCAGCTTTATCCGTAGCACAACATGCTGTCATGAGCAGTTTAAGTCCCAAGTTTAGAAATGCCTCCTCAGGGATGCCTGGGTGGCTCAGTTGGTTAAGCGTCTGCCTTTGGCTCAGGTCATGATCCCAGGGTCTTGGGATAGAGCCCCATGTCAGGCTCACTGCTCAGCGGGGAGTCTGCTTCTCCCTCTCCCTCTGTGCTTTTTCTCTCTCTCTCAAGCAAATAAATACAACCTTAAAAAAAAAAGAAAAGAAAAAGAAAAAAGAAATGCCTCCTGAGCCGTGGTTCTGGACTGAAGTTTTGGTGGAGGCTATAGTGACAGAAGTCTGTGTAAATAAGAAATCTGAGGAGCTTTGGAAAGTCGGTTGTATGAATACAGTGGCCTATAGCATCTCCGTAGGGCACTTCTTTTTCCCAGAGCTCTGATGTTCAGTGGCAGCCTGTCTTTGGCAGCCTCCAGCCCAGAGACCCCGTGAGCTGAGTTAGAAGCTGGGATCAGGCACCACTCGTTGTGGGGAAGTTGGGCCCTTGTGGAAAAGATGATTGGAGCATCATGGTGACATGTTTCAAGCTACATAGGTAGCCCTGTGAGGAGTGAATGCATATGAAATCCAATCTCAAGTGCCCACTCAGACTCTAGTCAGCTAGGTGTACCTTACAGCACCTTCAGATCAGCCTGTCTGTCCAGACATAGGAATGCTTCTCTCTCTCCTTTGGGTTCAACTCTGCTGTGTGTGTGGAAAGAAGAGGTGAGGCTAAAATGTGAACAGGTGAGCCTCACTTTGAGATGGTTGGGAGTATGGATGAGATAGAGGGGACAGACCCTGTCTTGATAGAATATCAGATCTAGCTGCTATAGAGGGAATCTTTGCTCATTAGATTTTTAGTATTCATTTGATTCAATGCCAACTCAGGGCCTATTTGTCCAACTAAATTCCATGATATATCTCTTGTAGCCACTTTGGCCAGTCTGTTCCTGAAAGACTACAAAAAATATCTCTCAGGGGGCGCCTGGCTGGCTCAGCCTATAGAGCATGTGACTCTTGATCTCCCAGTCATGAGTTCCAGCCCCACATTGGGCATAGAGATTACTTAATTTAAAAAAAACAAAAAAACAAAAAAACTTTTTTTTTTAATGCCTCTCAGGGCTTGTGAAGTAGGCCTGAAAACCAACATGGTAAATTCCACAAACCTCACAGGGAATGGCAATCGCCCTGAATCCCAAAGATTCCATCATAGAGGAGCAGCTGGGTCAGCTCTGGGTTCCAGAGCTCTTGATAGTGTCAAGAGAAATTAAGTCACTCGGCCCAAGGCCACCTACCTATTAAGTGGAAGAGCTGGATTAATACAGTTCTGTGTGATTTGGAATCAAGCCACGCTCTTCAGGACCACAGGCCTGTGAGTGTCTGGGGCACAGTTGGCCCAGTGGGGTTATACTTTCCTCCCCTTTAGAGGTGTTGCTTCTTTATATTTGCCTCAAGTTATTCTTGCCTTCTCCTTCCTATTTCTAACATGTTGTTGGATATTAATCAGAATGGCTGTGCAGGTAGTGGGAGGAAATAGAATGAAAATCTATTTCTGAAAATTTGATTCTTGGCTATAGGGTTTTTAAAATAGGTTTATCAGGAAAAAATAAACAAAAGGTTCACATTTGAGACTCTCCAATTTTTAATTCCCCAGTAACATAGCTGGCTAAGTGGTAGTGCTGGAATTTAAAATTTGGCCATGGAATCCAGTACCCAGTTTCCTAACAGCTTTGCTCTACTTCCCACAATTTAAAAATAAAATAGTTTTGGGGCACCTGGGTGGCTCCGCTGGTTAAGCATCTGACTCTTGATTTTGGCTCAGGTCATGATCTCAGGATTGTGAGATCGAGCCCTGCACCAGGTTCCATTCTGGGCATGGAGCCTGCTTAAGATTCTCTCTCCCTCCCCCACTCTTGCTCTCTCTCAAATAAATAAATCTTTAAAAAAATTTAAAAATTAAAAAATACTTTATTTATTTTTTAAAGATTTTATTTATTTATTTGAAAGAGAGAGCAGGAGTGGGGTGAGGGGTAGAGGGAGAAGCAGACTACCTGACCAGCCACCAGCAGGAAGCTCAATGCGGGCTAGATCTGGGGACTCCGGGATCAGAACCTAAGTGGAAGGCAGATGCTTAACCAACTAAGCCACCTAGGTGTCCCCAAAATAAAATACTCTAGACATATTCTTTTTTAAAAAAAGATTTATTTATTTATTTATTTGAGAGAGAGTGAGAGTGCATGCGAGCAGGGGGAGGGGCAGCATGGGGGGAGAGTGAGAATCTCAAGCAGACTCCCTGCTGAGCACAAGCCTGGCATGGAGCTCCATCTCAGGACCCTGAGATCAGGACCTGAACTAAAATCAAAGAGTCAGATGCTTAAGTGACTGAGCCACCAAGGTGCGCTTAGACATATTCTAAATATATTTTAAAAATATACTGCTTGATCTTGGGCAAGCCATGAGAGCTTGCTGGACTTCAGTTGCCTCATCTATAAAAAGGCTCTTATTTTATTTTCCTGTGATATCACATATTTGTATTATGTAATCTCTTGCAGTTTCTGACAGTTCTAATATATTTTCAGTGTGCCCAGGTAGTATGGGGCGGTTTATTCCAACTTCTTCCCTTGCCAGCTTTGGGACTGGTACAAGTCACTTAAATGTTTGTGCCTTGGTTTCCTGTCTGTAAACCAGGGACAGTAGCAGAACCTACTCCTTTGAGTTGTTAAAAGAATGAAATGAGGTAATTCATGTGAAGTTGGGCCTGCCTGACACATAATCCAAGCTCAATAAATGTTAGCTATTACTCTTGTTCTTAATTGTTA